TTTGTATGTGTACTAAAGCAGCATCCCTTGGGTAAGCGCACAAATGCAGCTACCGACGGAATTCCAATGTATGTAGTGTAATTCAGGAGGTATGTAGCAGTGCCGCGCTTTTTAAACCAGAGAAAGAGACTTCTCGCTGCTGAAACAAAACAAAAAATCAGAATTCTTTCAATTCCCTTGATGGTTTAGGATGTTATTGTATTTTGAAACTACTTGAAATTTTGATTAAGTCCTGCGTTTAAATATTTAACTTTTAATTAAACGCGACTACGTAAGTATATTGCCGAATTGGTTGATTTTAAATCATCACCAGCGTACATTGAAAGCGTACACCATAATGGTGGTGAGCAAGCCGGTGCATGCTAAGACATCAAAAAGGCCACACTACAAAATAAACGCACTGCTTTCATTGTTTTACTTTAATTATATAAGCTATTAGCGAATACCCGGCGCTACGCCTTAAAAGTATTTTATGTTGTTACTCCCTTCCAAAACTCTTATGGCCCCACACATAAAAAGTAAATTATTTATTTATATATTGAAAGGGCTTTATGAAATTTTCGATTTATGTAGCATTCTTTATATTTTATGAATTTTTTATCTTATCGATTTAACTGAATTAAAATTTTCATATAGGTGGCAACCCGCTTCAAAAATATTTTCGACAGTAAACTTTCTTGAACATCTTCAGTTTCATTTTGTCAATTAAATTGAATAAAATTTTTCAAACAGGCGGCAACTCTCAAAAATATTTTCAGCGGTAAACTTTGCCACAACTTTTTTACCTGATACCCATATTGCAATATTTAATTTGTCTTATCAATTAAATTAAATTAAAATTTTCAAACAGGTGCCAACCTTCCACAAAAATTTTCTCGGCTGCAAGTCTTGTTAAATCTCTTTCTTTTTAACCGACTTTTTTATTTTGTATGTATGTTACCGCATAACTTTCCTCCACGTCGACCGATTTCGATAATTCTTTTTGCATCGGAAAGATAGTGTCCATACTAATCTGGTTAAGATTCGATCAGTGGATCATGACATATATATCTATATATATATTTTAATTTACTTAAACTGAAATTTACAAATAGGTGGCAACTGTCTAATTT